CATCACTACCTTAACTACTGTGCAAACGACGTGTCCGTCACCCACCAGGTCTACGCCAAGGTCCTTCCCGAATTTCTCGAATCGTGCCCCACCCCGGTGTCATTCTCCGGCATACTGACGATGGGCTCGAGCTTCCTTCCGGTGAACCAGGAGTGGGAGAATTACTTGGAGAACGCCGAGCGCACGTATCGGAACTTGGAAGATGGCGTGAAGAAGCGGCTCGTGGACCTCGCGGTAGAAGCCAAGGGTATGGTGGAGAGCGAAAGCTGGAAGGACGACGTCTGGCTGCGACAGTTGGACTGGACGCCAAAGGTTGCCGGAAAGTCGAGGGGTATTGGTGTTTTGGAAGCTGTGAGTTTCTTTCCTACTCACTGTCGAGGCGTGCTAACGATGTCCTAGGTTGCTGCTACTAAGGACGAGGCATTGGTCCCTGCGTGGTATAGTGAGCTCCTGTCCTTTGGCCCCTTCAGCTCAAAAGTCGTCCATCGCACCCTGCCTCTTCTCTTCAAACTCTCTTTCGATGGCCGTTGTCCCCAGTACTCTACGTCGGACAAATGGCACATTGTCGTCGATGGTCAAATTGTTCGTCCACCCGTGCCTGGAAAGTCAAAGGTCCTCAGTCTTCTTGGAAAATCGAATGGCCTCAAAATGCTCCAGACTGGCCAAATGATTGCTAACGAACACAAGTTGGCTCTCTCTGTCGCCAGTGGAGATCGTGAGGAGGAGGTGTCCGAGCGCATTCTTCGACTAGCTAAAGACCTCTCAATGACCGCTGCACCCTCGAACGACCCTTGGCTGAAACAGCTTGATTGGACGCCAGTACAACACATGCCAGCGGATTCGTCAGGGCGAAAGGCTTCCAAGCCACCTAAAGTCATGTGGCCCAAGTGGTACTGGGACCTTACCAAACCGAGGAAGGATTTTCCACCCGGAACTGTCGACCTCACATCCCGCACGCGCATTGCGCCACTTTTGCTTCGGTTGTCTTGGCAGGATTGGCCTCTTTTTCACTCCCGCGAACATGGGTGGACGTACCGCGTATCCCCTGGTGTCGCATTCAAGACACGCCAGACACCACTGAATTTCCATCACCCAGCCGACGAGGCGCTACAGGCACTCGTACTACACGATGGCTTCGTATTCTACAAGTTGCCTCATAAGGACGGCGAATCAGCCAACGTCGGCAACCCACTGGCCAAGACATTCATCAAGTATGCGCAGGACGGGACGCTCACGAGTCCCGGGGACGAGGCGCGCAGCGCACTGGACATGAATGCGCAGTGCAGCTACTGGATCAGCGCGCGTGACCGTGTGCTGAAGCAGATGGTCGTCTGGCAACGCGCGGGGCTTGACATGGGTCTGGGCATCGGTACAGCGCCAGGCAGCAAGGCAGGCATCATTATCCCGCAGGTGATCACGATGGGCACGGTGACGCGGCGCGCGATCGAGCGCACGTGGCTGACGGCGAGCAACGCAAAGGTGAATCGTGTTGGCTCGGAGCTCAAGGCGATGGTACGCGCGCCGCCAGGGTACGCCATCGTCGGCGCGGACGTCGACTCGGAGGAGCTCTGGATCTCGAGCGCAATGGGCGACGCGCAGTTCGGGCTGCATGGCGCGACTGCGCTTGGGTGGATGACGCTCGAGGGCACCAAGGCCTCAGGCACGGACCTGCACTCCAAGACGGCGAGCATACTCGGGCTCTCGCGCGACCAGGCCAAGGTGTTCAACTACTCGCGCATCTATGGCGCGGGCATGCGTCACGCGGTACAGCTACTACTCCAAGCAAACACTGACATGCTGCCTGAGCAAGCGCAGCGACTCGCGGAGCAGCTATATGCGTCCACCAAAGGCAAAAACACGCACCGGACGGACGTGTTCGGGCGCAAGTTCTGGTTCGGCGGCACGGAGAGCTTCGTGTTCAACAAGCTCGAGGAGATCGCGCTCTCGGAGCACCCGACGACGCCCGCACTCGGCTGCGGCATCACGCACGCGCTCTCCAAGAAGTACCTCCCCGCTACATTCGGCGCGGACTACATGACCTCGCGCATCAACTGGGTCGTGCAGTCCTCCGGCGTTGACTACCTGCACCTGCTAATCGTCGCAATGGAGCACCTGACCCAGACATACGCTATCGACGCGCGGTACCTGCTCTCCGTGCACGACGAGCTGCGCTACCTCGTCGCGGAGCGTGACCGCTACCGCGCGGCGCTCGCGCTGCAAGTCGCGAATCTGTGGACGCGTTGTTTGTTCGCGTTCCGCCTTGGCATGGACGACCTCCCGCAGGGCGTCGCGTTCTTCTCCGCCGTCGACGTCGACCACGTGCTCCGCAAAGAGACGGACATGCCCTGCGTCACGCCCTCGCAGCCCTTGCCCATCCCGCCCGGCGAGTCCCTCGGCATTGAGCAGATTCTCGCGCTCACGGCAGGCGGCTCGCTCTGGGCGGATGGTCGCGCGATGGAGGAGGACTCTACTCACAGGTGGGACCCGCTACGAGGCTACCAGCCCCCGGACTGTATGCGCCATCGTGCGGACAACGCGGCGTGGCTTCGCGCGCAGGCGACTAATTCGTTTGCGGAGGTGATGTATCTCGCGCAGGAGGCGTCCGGCGTCAGGTTTGAGGGCGACGTCGGTCGTGGCGGTGGTGGTGCACGTGGCCGAGGACGCCGGAACAATGTCGGGGAAGTACCAGAGTCGGAGGCAGTGATGGAGGGCACGAACGAGTGGGTACAGGTCTTGCAGCACGAGATGAGGCGGCTGAGGCAGATACGCTGAGGTCCGAGGGTTTACCTGTTTTATCATTGATTGGGTTTCCAAGTCTACAATATCATCGAATAGTCATACAGTGCCACATACTAGTAGTAATTTATTGGACGCATTCTGACTCTTGAAACTCTTACAACGCTTTCGAGTAATGACCGCAGTAGCAATCGAAGCTGAACACGCTGGTTCCATAGATGCGCTGCGCGATCATCGATCAACTTCGGTAGTTCCGGTGGCGAACAGCCCGGAAATTGCCCCGAACACAGCCTTCAGGTTCAGGACTCCCACCCCACCACGATACCGCCTGACCCGGATGTGCCTTCTCGGACCCCACGACCTGCCTCACGAAGCGCCGTTTGTGCACCTCGCAAGTCCAAACAACCCATTGTCCCCTGCCCCGACGCGCTTCGGACTTGTTCGCTACCGTCGCTGGCCGAGACTGGGCTAGGCCACATCTACGATTGCAAACATCGGCTACGAGATCGCCATCAAAAGAAGCAGGGGTCAGAAGGCGCGAATTTCCAAATTTGGGTACTGGTCGGTGGGATAAAAATATCCCTAAGCGCGCCCTATGCTATATTTGGTTATATCCCGACCTCGGGCGGCTTCCCACCATCAAACTGCGACCCCACCTCTGAGACGCGCCCCCTTGTCGAACCCTCCGCCCTTCCGCCCTTCGCCCTTGCCCACCTGCCGCGCCGCGTCGGTCGTCCGTAAACGGGTTGTTGCGCTTTGTGTTCGACAATCAACATGGGCGGGACCGCTATATAAATCCTACGAGACGTCGGGAGTCATTTCTCAACCAGTACGCCGCCCCCGACGTTCTTCCCGCCCCACATCCGTCTCCTCTCTGCCCTTTCTGACTCACCTTGACTCTCGACACTCGCCCGCCCATGTCTTCTTCACGCTCGTCGAAACACCACGCGGCATCCTACGTGTCTAGCCCCGCATGGTCGTTGAACACGCTCACCGGGACCTCCGCCTCGGGCGCCAGCGGCAGCGGCGGCGCACCGCTCCCCGTAACACCGGTCCTAAGCCCCGTGGGTCTGCCCTCCCCACCTGGGTCCGCCAGCAGGTCGACGCACTACGGGTACTCGTATGCATCACAGTTCCCGACGACACCAGGCGCGCCACATATGAACACGGTCCCGCTGCCCGGATCCCAACGTGCGCACCCCGTTCCATCCCCTTCCTCTTCCCCACTTTTCCTGACGTTATTTTTTCAATTTTTATAGACACGCTGCCAACGCCCCCCGTGAGCCCCGAGCGTTCCAGGTACGCTGCTGTATTGAGTGAGCTACTGGTCTACACCGGCCACCGGCCTGCCAAATTGAACTATAACGTTGTGCAACCCCCGTCTGCGGCGTGCCTCCACCCGTCTTGCAACCCGCACATGTTCAACGAGCCCGCCATCTCAACACGCGCGCCGTGCATCGTCCTTGAGATCCCGGGCGTCTCGGGCGGCGCGTTCTACGCCAGTGGCGCCGGCGGCGGTCACCACGCCGTGAGTGTGCGCGAAGTCCTCTACGCCCTCCACGCCAAGCTGTCTGAACGCGCTGGCCAAGCCGACTTCAACTACCTGCCAAGCGACAGCCATAGACGCGCGGCTTCTGCGAGCTTCAACAGGCGCAACGCCGTTGCACCAGACCCGGCTGGCCTGCGCCGCTCTGATCTCCTCGGTGGACGCACAACATTTGCTGGGCTCCAGCGCGCCGCAAACGGTGCTGATGTCTGGCTCGTACACTTCATTTGAAGCGCTACCCGTGCCACCCTCAAGCAATGCAACAAGAGATAGAAAGATTCGTGCCAGTAAGGACTTTTGAAGTGAGAGAATAACTTAAGATGTAGAGCTTTCGACAACCCACACGGACCTTGGTTTTTTTGGTTGTGTGCACCCCGACTCGACGGACAAAATGGACTTTGCGGGGTTGCCCGGCTGCCTCAGAAAATGTATTGCGGACGATTGGAATCCTTCGTGTATTCATATCACTGTATCACTTATCTTCTCCCCACTCCGCCTTTCGGTCTCCCTTCTCACTTTTTATCGCACCTCGGTCCCCATACCACCTCTATTTGTGTCTCCTACTTCACACGTTGTGGCGGTGTTGGTGTGTATCAATAGTTGATGGTCAATCCGAATATAATCCCTTGTCAAAAACACGGTCTCACAGTCGGAAAGGATAATTCCTATGCAGGCATAAACGAGAAGTTCACACCACACACCATATGAAGAAAAAATTTTCCCATTAGCCGACTCGAACGACTGACCTCGTCATGCGCAATGTGACTTATGATCACGTTACTAGTGACGCGCTCTACCAACTGAGCTAAACGGGACATACTTAACTTTTCATAGCTGAATTCATCTCTCAGTATCATGATCATGTGCAACGCCACACCGTCGGTGACTACTGGCGTGACATAGGGATCGCCAGCCTGGCTGCGGTCCTAGAGAATCGAAAGGCCTCTTCGCCTAAAGTACTTTGATGACAGCTTCGCCGACTCTGCTCGGTTTTTTTCCTCAATCATGGCCAAACGTCGCTTGCCCAGTTGCTTCATGACTACCGTCCGACGACCCCCACCAGGTATCAAGCAACTGGCTGGCCTCTCACAAGAACCGATTTACTCTTATGTGCACATTGTGTTCTCTGAAGCCAGAGCTCGCGCGGCAGTCGGAATAGGCCGACATACGCTCTTAGATGCATGTGTGACCCCAATTTCTTTTTGGCTTTTGTTTGTTACCGCGTAGGCGGCTTGCTCTCCCTTGCTGATTCCTCACTTGTCTTCCTCGCCTTCCTCCCAACTGATGTGTCGGACGTGGGGTTGCCATCCCACGACGAGCGCGGAGGACAATTGTCGCCAAGGTTGGCGTACAGACACTGGCACCTGGCGTCCGTCGTGGTCCCTCTTCTCTCTGCCACGGGCTCGGGTGGTAGGGCGTACAAATCCGATGAAACACTAACTATAAGATCGAATGTGTGTGGTATCGAGCCGAATGGTTACACTTGAAGATATATAAAAGATATAAGAGTTGCCAAAGGGAATTGCATGCCAATTTTGCAAGTGGCGCAAATAACCCACCAACTGCTGCGATCCCGCTGAGCTAAACAGTAACGGCGACGTCGTGCCAGTGTTCTACCGTGATCATAAGGGTTTGCGTATGACAAAAATCTACTCTGGTACTACTGACCTGGCACTAGTACTTGTAAAGAAGACCCATCAATGCTACGCATTTTGCTCGCCATGATCGCCCGATAGAGTTGTCTGATGGCAATCTTTTCATTTCTTCCCTTATACTCTCCTGGGCGAGCTGGAATGGCGTTTTGCACTCGAGGTTCTCCGCACTTGGATATGCGCCCCACTTGAGAAGAATCCAAGCCCCGTCAAGCGACACAAGGCGCGATGCTAGGTGTAAAGGGGTTTCGTGGTCCTTGTCTAGTGCGTTTACGTCCGCACCGCGCTCTATTAATAGCTGTGCAACACTGAAACGATCTTTGTCAGGATAACCCTTGGCTCTAAACACTCGGTGCAATGGGGTCAAGTCCCGATTGCCCATCGTGTTGACATCCGCGCCACGGTCGAGGAGCATCCGCACCAAGTCGAGTTTTAGAAGGTAAGAAGCAGGATGTAATGGGGTTTGGTGGTAATTGTCTCGTACATCCACGTCCGCACCATGCTCTATTAAGAGCTGTGCAACTCCGAAACGATCCGCGTCAGGGCAATTTCCGGCCCACAACACTCGGTGCAATGGGGTTCGGCCGTGGTTGTTGTCCGTTACGTTGACGCTGACATTCGCGCCATGGTCGAGGAGCAACCTGACTTCGGGTAGGGAAGTCGCCAAGTGTAGTGGGGTTTCGTGGCCTCGTGCATTCACGTCAGCACCATGCTCGACTAATAGCTGTGCGACGGCGAAACGATCTTCCTTTTTTCGTTTTTTCGATACGAACCCGAAACGATCTGCACCGGAGTAATCCCCGGCTTCCAACAGTTGGTGCAGTGGGGTCCGGGACTGGTTGTCCTTCGCGTTCACATATGCGCCACGGTTAACGAGCACCCGTACGACATCGAGATCTCGCATAAGCGATGCATTATGTAATGCAGTTGCGCCGTCCTCGTCCCGGGAATTCACATCTGCACCATGCTTCAGCAACAATTGAACGAGATTGAGGTGATCGTGTTCGCTCTTTGGAAACGTGCGTTTAGATACCAGGTGCAACGGAGTCTCGCCAACAACGTTCCGGGAATTAACATCCGTTCTACGTTGAAGTATCATCTGAGCCACCTCGAAATACCCCCGAGCTGCCGCCAGATGTAGCGGAGTCGAGAGGTCTTTCTGCCGGGCATTTGCGTCCGCGCCGTGTTCGAGTAGAAACCGCACTGCGCCGACCACCACATCTTGCGCCACATCATTGGACCATTCAATTGCTGCGTGCAGTGGAGTCCGTGCAGCCCACTGGCACCCTTGAACCTCGACGTCCGCACCGTGCTGTAAGAGGAGTTCTGCGACCCGGATATGTCCTCCGTGCAGCGCTGCGACCAACGGATAGTCATGTGCGCCACCAATGTTGTTTACTAGCTGTGGGTGTTTCTTGACGAAGTATTCGGTGAGGTCAAAAAATCCACAAAGCGCGGAGTAGTATAAGGGTTTTGAATAACTGGTTTCCCGTTCTGAGTAGTGACGTAATGCCCCATCTTTATCATATATCTGGAGCCACACTTCAAACTTGGCCGAGTCGAAGAGTTTCTTCATTGGAAGCGTAAGGCGCGATGATACGCTCCCAACTTGTGCGTGAGAAACCCAGTATCGGGCAGCGTACTCTGCTAGAGGAATGTTCGCGACATTCTCTCTTCTGCGGCCGTCATCCAAACGGAGTAGAACGCCAAGGGATGCCCGGGCGAGGGTCGTGTGCGCATCGTCGGAGAAAATGTGATAACACGAGATATCTTCGCTCGAGGTAGAAAGACGGCCCGATGTAAGGAATTCCAGGACTGAAAAGTGCGAAAATTGGACGACTCGCGAACCGTCGCTGTTGGCGATGGTAATCAAGCCCGGACAGGCGGAGAGAATCTCCTGTTCTCGGGCACTCGACCGCTGATACGTCGGAACTTCTCCCCTTGTCACATCAGGGTCGGAAATAAGGATCTCCGCGAGCTCGTCAACACGAAGGGGTCGAATAGCCACAGCCAGGCATTGGAGCAAGCGTTGGGCATGACTTCGGTTCGCTTCATGAATTCCCTTCAGGATGCGCTCGTAGGTCTCGTCCAGGGTTTTGGGTAGATTGTTTAGAAAGTGCCGAACCCTCGATGGGAGACAAAGCCTCAGCATCTCCAGTTGACAAACCACCCATCGGAACCTATATGATAGATATTGAGAAAAAGTGTCTGGGGGAGTACGGCGACACCTTACATGCCATCAGCTTTCTCAGACAGTGTCTCAATGACCAGCTCCTTGTCATCTTCCAGCCAGCTATTATCATTGGCAATAAAATTAACCTCAGAGCTGATATATTTGGTGATATCTTCCCTATGTCCAGTCTGGTCGTGAAGGGAGACGCGGTGAGAAGTCAAAGGCTCAAGACGGTTGCGGATGTCTACCTCCGGCCTACTAGTGACGCATATGTGTAGATTCGGGAGACGGAGATTAACGAGGTTGTTTATGAGGCTGAGAACGCGTTCTCGGGGAGATCGCACGCCAGTGGTATTGGGACATTCATCAAGGGCGTCCGCGATGATGTAAATTGGATGTTGGGTCATGGCTAAGAGCATGTCCGTTAGACAGTTGATCATGACTTCGTCGCTGGGTCGTTGCATTCCATTCCCATATGTTGAATAAACATGGGAGATTATATTGCAACAAGGGATGGAGTGCGCAGCAAACTGGACGAGCAAGGAAGGCAAGAGGTCGTGGCGGTGCTTCTTATTGTCGTCCCTAAAATCAAAATAGAAATACGCCATAGAGGCTCTTCCTCCCTCGCACAGTGATACGATATGCTGGACGATCGCAGAGCTGGTCAGGAACATTAAGCTTCCACCTAAGGAGATATTATTTAAAAGGCAAACCAGAGGATGCTCTTCCCTGAACCGGCTATGAATGACGAGAGCCATGAGGGGTAAGTACTAAGGGACAGGTTTTCAGAAACGTACGTTTGCCATGGATCCATAACAAGGAATCGGTCGAATGCCATTCTTGAAAGATACGGCCTTCTAAAAACCAGGTCGCTGTTTCCTCGTGGAGGTCACGTAGTCCGATGTTGTAATTCGTTGACGGATCAGGCGGAGATAACCACCCTTTGAGCTTTTGTAACACCTCCCCCCCTATGCCCGTGTGTGAGCTCCTACAAGGTATCGCGACGAGGTCAAGTGGGTACGAACAATCGCGGGCGGCCATTTTGTTCACGACCTCCTTAACCATCCCTTTTATTTCCTTCGCGTCTAACCAAAAGATGTTCAAGATGAATTGTGCAGCCGAATGAAAGAATTACACACCGTCCTTGAGAAGGTTGGTATCACTCGACACTTGTGCGATACCTGTTAGAAGCTCCCGTTGTTCCAATTCACCAAATCTCTGTAAGGCATCCTCGATGTCGTTCATTCCCGCCACCTTTTTAAGAAATATTTCTGGTCGAACTTGAGTTGGGAGCAGCGTATCATGGAAAAGAGGACTGACTTGTTCGTCCCTCCTTTATCCCCTTTGTCGCAATAGCAAGTATTGAAAGGACTTCGGCCATAATCTTTGAGAGTTCGCCCGTCACCGCAGGACTCGGTGGGATATTGGTATAGATCTTGAGGCGTTCAAAGAAGCTTTCGATTCGGCCGAAGAGTTTGACTAGCATGTCGCGGTTTGCCACAGTGCCCTTTGCCGCCTGCCGAGGATCAATTCCCCAACCCACGGAGAGAACTTGGGAAAACTCACTGCGAGGAGAATGCCGATCCCAGAAAATATGATTTTGGTAGGGGGGAATACCTGGAGTCCGAGTGAACGTTAGGGGAGAGTTCTAAAAACAGGTAACGAGGCAGTCTGTTTCTTGTTACTTACTGAGCCAGCGCCCTCGCCAAGGGTGGCAGAGAGTGCGTTGAGGATATTCACAGTTGGGTTAAGCCACTTGGTGAGTCGGTCATCGCTGCTCCGATAATGATTCAGTTCATTAGCTTTCCTTTGAAGTACGGTGAGGATGGCATCTGGAGAACTGCAGTCTTTTATCTCAGCAGCGAGTGGGTGGGAAGTCAGGTCTTTGCCGGTCTTTTTCTCATACTCTTTCAGGGCCTTTTCAAAGATCGGTTGAAAGTTCGGGGAGGATGCCTGGATTATGGACGACATTGTGCCGATTCCGGTAGTA